CTGTCGTTTTGGGTCACACCAAAAACGAGCGCCAGAGTCTCCTCAGTCTCTTCTCATGGATAGTTCCGGGCTCCCAGCGAGCCAAGAGTCATCGGCCTGAACCAACGGAAAACTGAAACTTTCAGTTTGACCAATTACATCAAAACACATCCAACAGAAATGCCAATCGAAGTGGAGTCCACAGTAGTGATCGAACCCTTGAGCATGCTCTCATTCTTACCCCAGTCTACGGATACATTCCCCCATTTCTGGGGGTCACGAAGACTCCAGGTACTGTAAGTTCCCCAAGCGACTCGAGTCTTGCTCTTCCCGTGAATGACACCATTGCGCGGTGCTCGCAAGATCATGCGACGCAGCACCCCGATGTCTAGCCATAACGCCCGAGGCACGAATTGCACGGTTGGACGAATGGGTCACTCCAAAGATTTATTGCCAAAGATCTGAGAAATGAAAAGGGGGTGAGAAGGGAACTGGGTGTCAAGCGGGGGGGGCCTGGGCGAAACTGGAAGCCATCATTCCTTGTGGTTTCCTTCAGGGATTCTCGGAATGGGTGACGGATTGCACGGATGATCCGATGGATTCAAGGCAAGCCACGTTAGGTACCCAGAAAAGCGATCGTAAGCTGAAGTGCCCTGACTACCTACTTGTTTTGAGGTGACTCAGTTCAGTTCTTGCCTGCTTTCATAAAACGCTGGCCGGTCAAGCGCGGATCGAAATAACAAGTGCGTTTTGTGGTGGTGGGCGTGAGAAGCTGAATTATCACCCCCCCTTCAAATTTCACAAATAAGACTAAAAGGCTTACTTCGGGCCGTAAATTGGCCACGCGACAATTGCAGAGCTTCGTCTTGTAGGATTCTAGGGGGAAACACACAAACGGCTGCAATCGCTCTAACCTCCAAGAAGCGCAAAAGTGTATTGTTCCGTGCTGTGCTCAATTCATTTTGTAGGGTACCTCTCAAAGGGACCCTTCCCTTTTCCACCAAGACAAATCAGTGGAACGCTGACTTCCAAATGGTACCTTCAAAACGGCTGGGCTTCTTCCTGAAGTCCCGAAAACCCTCAAGGAGGGCATTCCCACTCTGGTGGGATCAACGCACAAGCGGTTGGTCTCTTACCTCCTGCAACGTTGCGTAGGGAACCCCTGATGGCTTAAGGCCAAGACCAATTGGGTAAATCCCCAAGGGTCATTCATCCTGTCAAGGGTCCAAAGCAGGGTCCTTTGGGAACCATTCAGTGCACCAGGGTGACAGTGAGTGTAGATGGCAGAACCCCCCATCTGCCGGTTAAGGGGAGAATGGTGCCATCTGCTTTCATCCAAGTGTGACTCAAAAGACCCTCTTACGCGCCTCCGGATGGACAGGATCGACGCAGTCGGCCCAACTTCAGGGCTGCCACACTGGGTTTGATCTGGTCAAAGACCCTGGGACATTTGGTTCGATACAATCTGGTTGATCCATTCGGTCCATTACACAACCTCATGGTTGCAAAGTTATCTGGCATCTGGTTGCGCATGCGAATCGGCATGGACTTGGCCAATGATGAAGGCGAGTCCCCTTTAAAGGGACTTGTCGTGCTTGAAGCACCTTAGGCAGCAGCGGCCGGCTGGAGAAAAGAAGCCGTGCAATGATCAAGAACAAGTCTCAACATAGGCATCCCCGCCTGCGTTGATTGGCCAAAGCGAATGCAAATTTGCTGGGCCTTGACTGGAATGATGAAGGCACCTTACAACAGTTGGTCCACTGAACAGGCAAACCCTAGTGTTCCCTTTGCCCTCGCCCGGAAAAGGGGCCCCTATTTTCTGAGCTTCCTGGCTATTCTGGCTTGCCTGTCCAGCAACATACTCTGAAACTCCACATACACTTCTGGACAGTTCCCGAACAAAAGCGATCGAAGTGGCTGAGCCAACCTAACTACCCAAAACCTGAGCGAACTATTCTATCAACCTGAAATAAGATACCTAAGAAACCTTCAAGGGTGAGTTTGCGGACTTCTGCCCAGACAAATTCAGACATGGCAAGTTCTACGCACGCCCGGCGCACCTTTCTGCTTCAATGTTTCTTTGCACAGAGAGCAGGCCATACGGCTGCTGATTGAATGCCTCAGACCCCCCGTTCAACGTTCCGTTCGGCGCCATCAAAAGGCGTCCCAAGCACTTGGGAGGGAATGAAGCGCTATGCAAGGAAAATGGGCTAACTGCAGAATATTCGAAGCCGCCCAGGCAAAAGGTGTGCCTCAAGTCTCAGTTGCCCAGCTGTTTCCAGGGAAAAGGAACCAGTTTGCGCTGTTCATATGCAGTGGGGAACCAAGCAAAAAATCCATGGGAACATGATGCCACTGAACAACCGAGAAAAACCGGCTTCCGCTGTCAGTGGGATGAAACCTTCCAGACTGAAGCTCGTCTCTCAGGCCGAGTACCCGTCATCTTGGCAAATGGTCCGCCGATCGCCGTTAGTGCTGGTGACCTGCAATCTGTTGCCACAGACAGCACTTCCCAACTCCCAGAATTGTGCCTTTGGCCTCAAGGGGGCCCATCTTCTGGACGGGCTTGAAATGGTGCAACACACAGACCGGGTTCCCTCTGGCTAGGAAGCTTTAGTCGCACCGAAAAGAACACCAGCTTCGCACCCTACATGCGAAGCTAGGGAGGTTTTAGGGCTAACTTCACCCAGTGAGTTCATTGACTGCAGGTAACCACGGGAACCGCCTACTGACGGAGGGGAGGGGTCACAAATATGGCCCCTTTTCGGACTGTGCCGCCTTGCCGGCTTTTAGAGGAACCAAAACGCATCGGCCCTAATTTTCAACCCCCGTAGATTGAATAATATGGGTCTGGCTCAAAACTAACCAGGTGTGGCAGGTTTTGGTCCATGTTTCCACTTACCAGGGTTCCATTTTGGTACCGGTTTTTTGAGCCACAGCCATATTGGAAACTTGAGAACTTCAGCTTCCCACTTGGTGGTTTGGAGTGCTGGATTGCCGGCTAAGGGTAGGTTTCCCCTTTCGCGTCTACGAGAACCGGGCGTGCTTTCAAAAAGGCCAAGTCCTACCAATCCAAACCACCAACTGCGGCTTATCTCAGCTTCCCGCTGGATTGGTGGTTTGGTGATTCGAACCACAGTACCTTTTGAAACCAAATGGAGCACGCACCCCTTAATGTCCAATTGCGACCAAACCAAACCACAAATTAGGGGTACGGTGGTTATCATCTTGCTGGTTCTCAGCAGGGCATGAGGGAATGACCCGTATAAACCATCCCACTGGTCCGGTGGCTTCCTTTAAGGGGTTCATTCCCACATTCCCTATATATCACACCAGCAAGTTATCTGAGCACTGGGTCAAAAAAACAAAAACCACGTGGAGCGGAGCGGCGCACTCGCATTTCCCGGCGCCCGAGCTGCCCTTCCAGTCTTCCAGCTGCCCGTTCTTCGGTTGCAGGCCCTCCGCAGTTTCCTTGCGAGCCGCTTTGGACGGTGCCGCCATGATGCACTTTAAAAAGGGGATAGCAAGAAGAACTGTCAGTTTCAGGTTTGGATACCAAGAAGAACTGCCAGTTTCAGGCCTGGCCATTATTGCAAAGGGAGCTAGCTTGAGAATAAGTTGGCCCTATGAACGACTCGGCATGAACAAGTAGTAAATGAGTGACGGTGTTTATTCCCTTACAATTTCATTGGACGCGTGGGCCCCTTCCTCGAAACTTTCCGCGGTGTGAAGGGTACTTTCAGCGAGCGTGGTTTTCTATACAAGTGCTTCCGCGGGCCTTCCGCGGGCAAAATTGAGGAAGATATTCCGCGAGGGAGTTTCTGCGGGCACAATCTGCTAATAATCCTAGAAATTAGAGCAAATGTGATTTGGGAAAGAGCCAGTCAACCCCGTCCCTTCCGCGAGCTTCCGGGCGCCTTCAGCAAACCTTCCCCGCTGCAGTGATGTGCTACCTTTTTTGCCTCTAGACGTTTTTGCTTCAGCGATGGACTGAAAGCTCAAGAATGCTTGCCTCAACTCCCTCTCAGGATGTACCGTGTAGACCCTCTTTGGACAAGCCAAGTTTCGCACGCCGTGCGGCAAATGGTTTTGTCGGTGATGGGGCCGACGCCGTTCTTGCTGTAGGCCGAGCACGCCGGGTAGGTGACCGCCTCACACAGTGCAACATTGGGCACTGGGCCAAGGTCCCCTAGATCTGCTAAGGTGCGCAACATGATTTCAATAACCAAACCCGGGTTGGGGTGTATACTGTATCTGTGTAGCCCATAAATACTAAAAAGGCATGTATATATATATATATGGTAGTGTTTGACCCATAGGGCATTCCAGCATGGAGGTCCTTATCTTCCCTGCCTCACAGCCCTGAAGTGAGGTCCCCACAAAGCCGCAAACGAGTCCCGCGATGCCAAGGGCCGCGAGGCGCGCCAAGCTGCGTGCCATTGCAGGAAAGCACAATAATAAAGCACGTTGGTCGCAAATCGATTGCTGCGAATGGCTCTCGAACACCGAAGAACTCGAAACACAAGGCGCATCACGCGAAGGTCTGGTGGGCATTCAGCGCTTGTCCGCGCTCATTCGGCGGAAATGCGTCCAGTTCTTCCCTCACTCAATAATGGTTGGCCGATGTTTGGATGTTTCCGCATTCCCAAAGAAAGCCCTTGTCCCTTACCTCAAGGAAAACGTCTCCCACCCAAGCATTGCATCATTTGAACACTCTTGATGGCCATCAAACTGCAATGTTTGACCGGGAAACTACCCCCGTGCATTCTAGGGATGCTGGGTCCCACATGGGTCGTAAGGTGGAGCCCTGCATGCCGAACCTTACCCATATCTTGGAAAAGCATCGGTTCCCTGATCTACCTTGCCTCAGATACCCAGTGGATTTCTATGGGAAAAAAGGGGAACCCTTTTTTTGTTGGTTGAGTTCAAAGGGGAACCCTTTCCAAAAATAAAGAAACAAAAGGTACCACTGGGCAACTGGGTTGTCACTTCGAGCCAAGCAATTCCCCGACGCCACTTTTATCCCGAAGCGTCAAGACTTGTACATGAAGCCCAGCGCGAGTTGCACTCCTGGGCATCAAGCTGCGAAGCTTGTTTCAACTTTTGCGAAACTGCGGCCACCGACCAAAACAAAAATCCAGCCCATTGATGACACCCGCAGAGAACATGGCTTGCTTGCCCTGTGGCCCTGGAAAAACAAATCACTTTGTTGGTGGGGGTTTAAAGGAAAGCCTCCGGAAAAAAGGAAGGGTAGGGTCATTGGTGTTGGATACTTCTCAAGGAAGCAACAACCATTCGGTACTTTTGAGAATCACCCAATCAAATAGATGTGTCGCAAAATGCAGCATCACTTGCGGGATATGAATGCTTGACAAAAACGAACCAATCAAAAAGAATTCAACCACCCTGAGGGGATGTCCAGTACATCTGGAACACATACTTACACATCATCCCATACATCATGGGCTGGTCCCCACCCCAATTCGACAGACAAATATGTATATATATATATTATATATACATTGTACGACCTACATCACAGTGAGCTCGTTTTACCTCCACCTGGCCATAAAACAGGCAGATGCTCTGCTGATAAGTCGGGGCACGCCTTGAGGTGCACAAAACATGTCCTTTCCCATCAATTTCCAGCTTGGGATGCAACCCAAGCAAAGCCCCGGAAAGGGAATGAAGTGGTGGTAGCTGGGAAGTCACAAGATTCAGAAGCACCGGAAGGTTCCAAAATGGAGCGTCGACTGGACGCCCCTTCTCGGACCACCTCCACACGAAATGCTCGCCTTGCGGTTTCCTTTGGGAGAAGGGGAAGCAAGCAATTCATGGGTTCGTGGTGACGGATTGATCAACCTGGCAGCCAAATTCGGGGGGGTCCCCAAAAGAGAAAGATCCCTGTCCGAATCGGAGAACCAGTTTAAGTCAACGGGATTTAAATGAATCCCTCAAAGGACATCCGAGCCGCGCGATTGCACGTCGGCATCATCTTTGTGCGCCTGGGCTCGAATCAGCTGGCAAGAGGCTCATCTTCCGTTTGCTTTCAGTGTCAATGCGTGAAGAGATGGTGCCAAATGCCCTTCAAAAGCAACAGGGACAAAAGACCACTGATTGGGCGACTCCTTCTTGTGGTCCTTGCGTTCTCCACAATTGTGGAGGGGCAGGTGATGCAAGTGGCTGAACGAACGCTCCGCATCAATATTCCCGCGCTTTCGTGCGCAAGTTGCAAACCCAGACCCTACAGTTCTCATGGGATCCAATAGGCGGAGGGGCACTTTCCCCAGCTTCCCTCAGCTTCCCATCAGAGTCTGGGTGAATACTATCAAGTAAGATTTGTCAACCTCTTGGAGCTTGGACCGTTCAAGAGGGGGCACGCGCTTCTTTGCACCTGTGGCCTAAAAAGGCGCCTCAGGGTTCCCTACAAGACCTTCTGAACCACATGGGTGTGTCGTGCTTTCAGGGTATCCCTTTCTTAGGGCCTCAAAGGAGGGCTAAAGACGCATCCACAGAGCCGCAAGCCACGCACCAAGCAAAACCGCCAGGCGCCTCGGCGGCTTTGGCCAACTCCGTGCTCACCGGGCCCCGCAGCACATCCTGCGAAGCTTCGCATGCGCGGCCCATGGGCTTCTCGGTAAATAGAACACACACCAAACGCCCGATGCGCAAATGTCTGCTACGAAACAGCCAAGGGACACAAATGTATGTAAGAATGGAAGGTCCAGGAACACATGCGTTTTGTTTCCTTGTGGTTCCCGGGAAAAAAATCGCCAAGGCCAACTTCAAAATCGGACATGGGACCCGGAAAATGGGATGTTTCATCTTGCTTGAACCATATACCCTTCAGGGCGAAACCCTTCAGACGTTGGCGTTTCTTGCTCTATCTTGCTCTCCATGGGTCATCCTGCGAATCTCCAGGAACAATGCACATAGGGCCCCAACCAAGGTCTCCCCGCCTTTTTTGGGAGACTTGGGACACTATAGATACAAATTCACCATGAAAACATACCATTCAGTCGGTGAGGTCGCAACCTCATTCGGCCAGTTTCATGGGGATGGAACACCCAAGCCTCCAAGGTTTCAACAGTTGTTGCGAAGCCTCCAGGCTCCCAGTGCAGCAAACCTCACATAGCCCATGGGGGGAAATCACAGGTTTACAGCAACTTGGCAAACTTTGGGGGGTCCCTGGGTTCAGGGCTTGACTGAGGCAAGCATCCCACCGCTTCAGAACCCAGCTCCTCACCCACGGGAGCTTTGCGTCGCATGAGCTCAGTCACCTCGAGTTCGTGAAGCCCACAAAGGGTTTGGCTGGAAGATATCCTCGCCAAGGACCTAAACGTTATGATTGAACCGATTGAATTGCGAAAGGGTTCCGGAGGGCTTTCCCTACTTTCCACTTGAGCCATGGTCAACCCTCGGGTTTGGTTAAAGACCTTAAAAGGGACCATCAGATTGCTTCTGGGAGAAGTAACACCACTTCGCCAACTCCAACTCCCCAAAAAACATTCAGGTCGAGAACGCTGACCCTACAAGGTCTTTGCATACACGTGAGGTCCGCTAAAGACCCCACCATCGAAGAAGCTACGACAAGAATCCAAGAAGTGGTGAAAAGCCGCCGAACAACACATGAGGCATTGCTAATCCAGCCGGATGCTGACTTCAAGTCTATCGAGGAAGTGGAGTTGTGATTGGCGGGGTGCACGTAAAACTGGATTCACTGGGTGTGTCGACACTTGGGAACTTTCCCAATGAGTGGATCCATTCTGATTGCCTTTGCAACCCATCCTTGTTTGTTGGTATTTGTATGGGAAATATCATTCCAGGGCCTCTTAGGTGGTGCAGGAATTTGTCCGTCCACAGTATGGTTGTCAAGGGGCATAGATCCGATGGACCCTCGGGCCCATCCCAACTTTCGTGACGCCTTGGTGCCTCTGGGTCCGATTTCTCCTGGGGCCTGGGCCACTTGCGCGCTGGCGCGGGCCAGCGTAGCATTGGAGCCTCGGACAATATGTATGTATATATATATATATATGTGTACACGTTTTCATTCATGTACAGACAAAAAAAAACATATATATATATATAGATGATTCTATATGCTGTGCATGTACATGTCCCAAGGACAATAACAATCATGGATTTCATGCCCCCATGCAGGTTCTAGGTTTGTGTTTGGGGGGCAACTGGGCAAATCTTGTTCAGACTTGGTACCCTTTTGGGGTTGGTTTTAAACGGACAAAAAGGGAAACTATTCACATTCGGGTTTGCCCCATTTAGACAATCCCAATTCATTTGTGGCTTCACCATGAGAAACAATCCACCAACATGTCCAAAATGATGATATCCGCGGCCCCTTGTGCAAAAGAATGATGTTATGTCGCAAGAGCGTTTCCATTTGGCCACTCAAGTTTAATGAGACTAGTATTTGTTCTGTCGGGTCCAGGAAGCTGAACATTGTGAGGGGTTCTTGACATGTCGTTTTCGGATGGTCTTCGCTGTGTACCGAAAGAACACGTTTAGAGGCCAAGTTGGACGATACGTACTGCTCGTTCCAGAGGGCTTTTGACATCGAGGTGAGCGGCAGTTCTACAAAAAAGACGGCTGGTGGCCTCCGACACAGGAGAAAAGCAGGCAGGGGTTGTACCATGTGTATCCTTTTAGGGGAAATAGATGGCCCTGGTAATAGGTAAGCCAGGGAAACCCATCTATTTTTCGACCAAAACAACCAAAAAAAAAGACACCTATGGGTTGCATGCTGACTCCAGATCTAAAACCTTACGGACCATTCCCAACATACTCTATGTCATGTCAGTATTCGCGTCAACCAGAACTATCAATCCTTCAGCGTGGCAGGGTCCTCAAACGATTCAATTCGGTCCAACATGTCCTTTGCCAGGGTCGGTGGACAATACCAACATGACGTTCTAAATTAGGGACCTTCAAGGGCATCATGTAGGTGCGAATTCATGTCCTCAAACCATTTTTGAGAAGCTTCACTATGAAACTCGTAGCCAGAAAACCGAACCCCGACGCGTCCCAGGATGTCGCCGCACGAATTGCACACTCGAACTCAATTCGAAGGCATCGGACTGGAATCGGACGGCGAAAGCCAAATCATTTCTGGCTTCCCAGCTCAGCTCGGCATCTCTTTCCCCAGGCCCCATGATCTGAGGCTGCGGAACCAGACCTTCAAAGGTCACAAGGAACACGCTCAGCCGATGCATGGAGCCTTCATGGGGGAATGCTCCTTGACGCGCATGGCTGACGATAACTGAGTGCAGCATGACCTGATTCTTGTAAACTTCCGCAAAAAGCCACGAGGCTAGTCTATTTGACAGGGGGTCCCCTTCGCCCTCAAGAGCATGGTGAAACATGGCAGCTTCATATTACCCCTGAAAGATGTTCCGCTCGAAAAGGTGCAATGCACGGCTGGGATATCCAATGACCCAAGTGGCGAATGTTAACGTCCTGCACATTGGCCGCAGAGTTACACCTGCACAAAAAAAAGCGAAGCTACACGGGGCAGCTTTCAGAACCATGGGGTTTTTGGGGGGTTCCATGTCGATCGTGTAGCCGGCTTAAGGCGAAGACCTGCGACCGAAACCCGGACTTTGCCGGACTCCCGGACTTGGCTCCCGGGCCCCACTGCTGCAAGCACCGGCAAATGAACTCTGGGCCAACCACATAGACCAAGGCCATGAGGTGGTAGGTGAGAATCTGCGCGGAAAAAACACCTTAACACTTCCCAGAGGAATTGGACACCTGAAGTCTGGAGTGTTCCAAACGGTTTTTCTTTGTAACATTTACTATCCAATCGAGGTCCCCCATCTTAGGACACTCTCGTTGGCTAGGATCAGGTCCAGCCCTCTCCAATGCAGTAGGTGCGTCTCAAAATAGGGGGGTCACTTGTTCAGAGAGTTTTTGCATGGAAACCAACAGAAAATCCAGCACCTAGAGGCTCCGTAGATTTGAGACACACCCATTTGTGAATGATGTTCAATTGGGGACCCTTTGGTAGACATCATTTAGGTGAGATTTATCCCCCATAGTTCAGCGTGCTCCACATTCAAACTCGTTGCCATGTCCGAAACTCTGGCTGAGAGTTTTGCCACCCGGCACCTCCAAGATCGGAACATATAGCCACGTAAATGGTGATTCAAGGTCACAGGTGTAAAATGTATATGTGTATATATATATATATACACAAATATAATCACATGTGTATATATATATATATATATGTATACATTCATACGGATCTATGTATATATATATAATATCGGGGAGGGTGCTGCGACCCCAGGTTTCAATGCGTGCATTGTACGCAGTGCGTCAATGACGTTGAACAGTGCAGCAGGTGACTCTCTGGAATTTACAGCATGCCGCTCTTGGATATGAAGCATGTCTGTCTCATGCTGCTTGCCATGAGCAAGATCACGTGAATGAGGAAGGGTATTCCCTTCCCTCCCCGCCGGGGTCCCCGCCCCACAAAAAAAAGAAGTAAGACAAACAAACAAACAAACAAACAAACAAACAAACAAACAAACAAACAAACAAACAAACAAACAAACAAACAAACAAACACACAACACATGTTCAACCGCCCCAAAATCCCAAAACGTTGAATCTTGGTGCTCACATGCCCACCACACTCGCACCTCCACCTCCTCAGCAGTCTGGTCCGCTCTATTCTGGCGCAGTCACTTCGGGTCAAGGAACTTTTCAGATCTCTAGAGTCTCCAATGACCCGAAAAAAGTTGGGGCGTGACCTTTGAATCATATTTGGGTGTGGCTCAAAATTCATGAGCTAGGGCAAATTGCAGGTTTTCGTCCTTGGTTCCATTTGCCAAGGGGTGTTTGAACCACAGCCATATGTGACGCCGCTTTTGAGGGTCATGCAGACTCCAGGTCCAGTGCGGAGATTGATCCATTTTGGGGGTCTGCCGCGAAAGCAAAACCTTGGTTGCTTTTCGCTCCCCTGCTAAAAGTCTAACTTGTCATGGTTCAATACGGCCCATTGGTTGGCAAAAAGTTAAAGTCCTAACATCCCTTGGCAAAATGAAACCTCTGAAACTGTTGGGGTCCCCATGTTAGATGGAACCCCCGTGTTATAAACCGAATCCGGCACCGCTGGCGCAGGGGCACTGTCAAAAGACCAGGCAAAGCCTTCTGGGCCCTGACAACAGTTTCCACTCCCAAGCTGCATCCTTATTACAAGGTTCCAAGGCCCAACGGGCTTCCACCAGCTTGCGTGCAAAACTGAGTTTATCATGTGGGACATGTTGCCCTCAAAGCCAAAAGTACATAGCCGACCAACATTGGATACAATGTTGACCCGGGATTCATAGTGAATTAAAAAGGGCGGCATTCCCCCAAACGTTGAAACATTCACTACAAAACTGGGGGTTCCCCTATTGAATGTACCAGAGGTTTATAGAGTCAAGTGGTTGCAAGCATGGAAGATCCAAATCATGGGCTACATGAGACAGGGTGCCGCTGGGCGGGGTCGCTGGGAGAGGTCTTGATCACAAATCAATCACCAATTCTGTGTGGTTTCTTGATATTTTAGACTGTGAACTCAAATACTTTACTTCAAACAACTCCGACTGCTTTCCCGAAAACACTCCCCTCTAGCGTCATAACTAGGGCAGCCCAGTGGGATTTTGCGGGTGTGAGATGCTCCTGGAGTTTGCTGGGAGACAGCTTGCAGTGGGCTGAGGTTGTCGGGCGGAGGCAAGCTGGAGCGGACGCGGGCGGTGTGGAGGGTAGCAGCGCAATGAGCAAAAAGGGGCCGGATGGCGGGCTAGTATCTAACGGCCTCCACCGATCGGGTGGGGAAGAAGGAACAACCAAGCAAATTAGTAAACATGGGATTGATTGTGAAAAGAAACCCACCAAGGCTTTTGCCCACTTCAGATAAGGCTTCGGCTCCCTATGGATCTGTTTGAACACGGGAACTACCACAAGTTGGATGAGTGTCCGGAAACGGTTGCGGGTTGGGACCCGAAAGAAGGTAGCTCCAAAGACACCGAAAGGCATCGAAGAGGGGAACCACAGGAAACGGTTCCTTCACCAGGCTCCTCTACGAGGATTCGCCGCATTGTACGTATCATCCAAATAAGTTTAACTCCCAGAAGTTGGCTCCCTTGGCGTTTTGGCTTCTCGTTTGCAGGCTCCAGATACCCCGGAAGGAATGTTGCATGCTGAAAGGATGCGATAAGCTACTTTCTACCTTTGTGGCCACACTTTACTTGCTGCTACTCAGCAAAACCATCCATTTTCAGGCAATGCATCAGTAAGCAAAGGAGCATCCCTCTTTTCCGGGTTTTCCCCAACAAATAGGCAGTGCTCCCTTAGTTTCCTTTCCGGCCGCGAAAAGCGTAGCCTCAAAGAAGGGTGTCTTTGTTTGCATAAACCACTCCTTTGAGGCATGGATATGTGGACAAAATAAGAAGACTCCCAAAATGGTCATGTTCCTGGTGAAGCTGTTGGGAAAAAACCACATACCCACGTGACCCCGCGTCACGCCTCCAGGCGGCTTACCGCCATCTCCATTGCTTGGCCCAGCGCCTCTCCACTTGGTTGGACTGAATCCAAGGGGATGCCAATCTGTAGAATAAGTTGGTACCCGATTCTTTCTTCTGTAGTCTATTTTAGTAGGGGAACCCTCCCCAAAAAAGGGTAAAAGGGCACTACTGGGGGACCCCACATGGCGGGTTTCCTCTTGGTGTCCCATTAAACCAACCTGAAAAAGGTATTTTCCTGTTGGTGTCCAACCCGATAAGGAAAAATACCTTCCAAAACTCACGAACCCATATGGGGCCCTGAGTTTGCAACTTGGAACCTTGAAAACCGCAGGGTCAGGTACCAGTACAGAATCATGCACTGGCCAGTACCAGGGCCCGACAATAGCTGTTCGCGAAGCCATAATGAGCCTACGTGCAACGGAGGGTTTGCTTAGTGGCCTAGACTCCAGGTGGCATACATTCCTGAACAAACCAGGGGTTGAGAGGATCGGCAAAGCGTACCTCTAGCCGAGTTCAGTCTTGCCCAGTCAAATGAAGCACGGGATTCTCCGCCGACATCCTCAGTTGACCCGGACTGGGCGGCCAGACTCGAAAACAATGCGGATGACTTTGGCAAACAAACTGCGGCCTGCCAGGATTGATGGCAAACCAGGCAAGAGTCCCTTTGAGGCAAATCAACACCGCCCCTTTGTTTGTTGCACTCACATGTTACCTCAACGCCCATTTGTTCAAGCTGCAGCTGCAGTTCACGGATGCCATTGCAAAGGTCGGGCTTCCCAAAAGCGCTGCTAGATTGGATGCAGAATGCATGCTGTGCAAACAAGAGCTGAAACAAACAAACACTCCATTTGCTTCGAATCTTCCAACACCAGGTCACCAGGCCAGATCAAACCAGCTCGCCGTTTGCCTGTTTGCTGTTTGCCCAGCGCGCCAAACCCTCCAAAGCACCAACCAACGACTGCCAAGTCAAAGCCTTTGATTGATCTGCACAGCTCATCCCAGGTCAGCCCCCGAAGTCCCCGCTATTCGCAGCATCTCAGATGCCCAGTGGAGTTCCATGGGACCAAAAAAGGCACGTGTTTTGTTTTGGTTTGCTTGAGTTGAAAGGAATTGGATCCCCTTCCCAAAGACAAGTTGCAAAAACGGGCCCGACTGGGCATCCGGGCCATCTTCTCGATAAAACCGGCTCCCAACAGACACAGCCGCAAGGCGTCTTCCCGGCGCCTCGCCCTGTGGCCGCAGCAAACAGCTCAGATCTGGAGATGCGATACACACCTCGGGACAAGAGGCGTGAGCAGCGGGCGGGCAGAAGCCTCCGGTCTTCCAAGCTGTGTCGTCTACCTGTGGCATGAGGTGCCATATAAAAACAAAGAACTCTTTAGATATCTGCAGTCAGTCTGCCGGAAACGATATCTCCAGTCAGTCTGCCAGAAACAAATCGTAACTTGGAAGAGGCATGGAATTGCTGCGGGCCAGGCCTGGTCGCAGCAAAACCCTTTGGGCAACATCTGCTAAGACTTCGGGGTCAACCACCCGCCGTCCTTTCAGCCCACGAACGAAACCAAAACCCAACCTCGCTCCGTCGGACACCAAAAACGAGGCAACGAGAACTCCATGGGACTGAGGTGTTCTGGAACAAACAAACGGTCTCGAGAGTTTCTGCCTGAAAGCGTGCCGCGATAGGTTCCCTTGTGGTGTTCCTTTAAAACCACCCAAAGGGGCACCCTCCAAACAAGGAGATATACCCATATACCACTGACCTGCGCTTCTCCTCAAAACTCCTTTTCTGTGAGGTGCAAGGACAGTTCCCTGGAATCATGCCATACCAAAACTGGCCTTCAGGCCCCGGCCGCAGCGATCAGCTTGATCGATTCCTCCCGCAGGTATGAGCCCTGGCGTGGTAGAAATGAACCCTCTTATTCTGTTGGGAGTGGTCGTTCCAGCACGACCAATCAATCACAAGATGGCACACTTGAATATGCTAGCACACCCATGCAGAGTCCTGTGAATCACCTACAGCACTAACAACATTCATGACAGCATTTGGTGCAGGATCATTTGTTGAAACACCTGTTGTATCTCTCTGTCTGTGAATGTTGCTTCATGCGCAGTCACTGTGTGCCGACATCAGTCCACGAACCATCATGCTGTTGGTAGACTTCCCAGCCAGTCACTGAAGCATGATTGAGCTATATCAAGCTGATCTCTCCTTGGCGGCACGAAAAGCATGTTCAGCGAAAACGTGTGTTGCGGGCATAGCAACTCAAGAAATCGAGAGGACACGTTGACGGTTCCCTTCGCGGCACGATCTGTTTGATTGCTTTGATATATTGAGCTAACATGGGGAAACACCCATTGCATGGCAAAGGAATAGTCGAAAGGATACCAGATCTCTGTTTGTTTTTTTTCTTCGGGGGGTGTGCCATCCCTCCTCGACATACTTCTAGAGAAGGGCCGAAGAAGTGGCGAGGGCAAAATATGGACTCATGTTTAAAACCTGGCTTACGTTGGCCGGCCTTCAAATGGCATTCGGCGGCAACCCATATATGGTGGTGAGAGAGAGAGAGAGAAAGAGAGAGAGTGAGTGAGTGAGTGAGTGAGTGAGTGAGTGAGTGAGTGAGTGAGTGAGTGAGTGAGTGAGTGAGTGAGTGAGTGAGTGAGTGAGTGAGAGAGAGAGAGAGAGTGAGTGTGAGCCACAGTCAGTGTGCGTGTGTGTGAGTGAGTGAGTGAGAGAGAGAGAGAGTGAGTGTGAGTCACAATGTGTGTGTGTGAGTGACTGAGTGAGTGAGTGAGTGAGTGAGTGAGTGAGTGAGTGAGTGAGTGAGTGAGTGAGTGTGTGAGTGAGTGAGTGAGTGTGAGTGAGTGAGTGAGTGAGTGAGTGAGTGAGTGAGTGAGTGAGTGAGTGAGTGAGTGAGTGAGTGAGTGAGTGAGTGAGTGAGTGAAGTGAGTGAGTGAGTGAGTGAGTGAGTGAGTGAGTGAGTGAGTGAGTGAGTGAGTGAGTGAGTGAGTGAGTGAGTGAGTGAGTGAGTGAGTGAGTGAGTGAGTGAGTGAGTGAGTGAGTGAGTGAGTGAGTGAGTGAGTGAGTGAGTGAGTGAGTGAGTGAGTGAGTGAGTGAGTGAGTGAGTGAGTGAGTGAGTGAGTGAGTGAGTGAGTGAGTGAGTGAGTGTGGGAGCGAGTGCGTGCGTGCGTGCGTGAGTGGGTGGGTGAGTGAGTGGGTGGGTGAGTGAGTGAGTGAGAGAATGTGTGTGTGTGTGGGTGTGTCTCTCTGTGTGTTTGTGCGCGTGTGTGCATGTGTGTCTGTGTGTATATTTGTGTATATGGATACTTGAATCTGTATGTGTCTGTGTGTGTGCTGTTGTGTTTTTGTGTCTGTCTGTGTGTGTGTGTGTCTGTGTGTGTCTGTGTGTGTGTGTCTGTGTGTGTCTCTGTGTGTGTCTCTGTGTGTGTGTGCGTCTGTCTGTGTGTGAGGGTGTGTGTGTGTGTGTGTTTGTGTTTGTGTCTATGTCTGTGTCTCTCTGTGTGTGTTTGTGATACAAACATTGATCCCAAGTGCCGGCCGGCCAGCTACACATGCTGTATACTGTATTTCCCCATCCCTACTTGCAATGTTTGGGGCATCAACTGTAGAATCAAAAGCAAGGAACATTTATGCATATGCCCTGACTGCAGCACAAGGTGTTGCCCTGACTTCAATGTCCAATCACGCCTCTACGCATAGTACTCGTTTGCAGGGTACGCGTTTGCTTGTCCAATATGTCACATGTCCAATAGAAAACTCCCACTTGCCCCAAACTGAGATCGCTCTTCATGGCCTACAGCTCCACGTTTTTCGGGAGGCTGCATCTTCCTCTTCCTCCATCAAACTCATATATTTGTTTTTTCCCTCGAAGCAGTCGCCGGTCGACAATTAGGAGAGTGAAGTCAGCAAATTTCCTCCATCAAACTCATCTCCCAGCGGGGGAGAAAAAAAAGAGCAATGGCTGGTGCCTCGCTCTTGTAGTACCCGGCATGCTCCTGACTCTGCGCCTGGGTCAAGGCCTGCAATCGAGGCAAAGGCGATGATGAACCTTTCAAGTGTTAGTTGAGTCAAGAACCAAAACTCGGCATGAGCACGGCCTACCCATAACCATGTAAAGAATTGACAAGGCGACCTCACCCATTTCTGGTTGGGACTGTCCCTTACTGACATTCCACTCCCCGGGTTTTTAGTGTGGCTCAGTTGTGTTTTAATGCTTTTTACAGCCTTTGATGTAGAGGTTTCAGTCTCTCTCATACACGGTGTGTCGCCTCTAATGTAGGCTGCTTTGCCTCTAACATAGGAGCTTCAGCCTCTAAGTCTTTGGTTGTATCAGGGAGTTTTAGCCTCTGATAGCTTCTAAGACAGGGTTTCAGCTTCTAATGTCAATTTGTGTACCACTCTAGGCTTAGTGCTGTTGTGCATGAATTCAGGGATCCTCTAAGGCAGCTTGATTGTGAAGGTCTCTTCACTGCCCTTGTACCATGCACAAAGCCCCTCATAGAACATGAACTCTGGCGACCATTTTCACGCTTCCAAAGTCAAGGTGGGTTGCGTGTGGGCCAAACTCTCCCGAATCCACGACTTCTAGTTGGACTTCCTTGTCCCGACATTGACAACGCGCTCAGTGTAACAGCGTATCGGTCGGCTGTCCACACCAACAATATTAAAGCTCTCTTTCAATTGAAACAGTTGACGCCCCGGTTGACATTGCTGTGGGCCCTCTCTTCACATGTGTGTGTGTGTGTGCACTCTGTCTTTTGTGTGTGTGTGTGCCGTGGGTGGTGTGTTTGTCAAAGTGGAGAAACCTCAAACAAGCACAGGCCGCGTTTGTTTCCTGGCGGGCGGCGTCGGGTGTCCACTCAAACCGATCAGAGGCGCGCCGAAGACCCGAAAACGGGTAGAAGTTTGGCCCAATCCTCGATGGCCTTTCCCCTTGGTTTGATCAAGCTGGGAGCAACCCTGCTACTGAAAAAACCCGTTGGTCAGTTGGTTGCCCCTGTTCAGCAGCTCGGGCTGTGTTTTTTGAGGGTATCCTTTTTGGGGTTGGTTTAAAGGGAAACCGAAGGAGCACCAATCAGTTTGGTGATCCAAATCTCAATTCTGGGCTCATATCGTAAAAAGTGGTTTGAAGAACCAAGCCCCGTTCTCCCTGAAGAAGGAAACCAAGGGGGGCTGCATTGGTTAAAAAAGGGGCACATACCCAAGTAAAATGGACATTCGCAAAGCGGCTCGATCGGCTGGGAAAAGTGCCTTTGCACCAGCTTGGAGACAGGACAGGAGCTGTTCCTCGCGGCTTGCCCAATGCGCACGTCCAAATGGGGCGGTGTTTGTTTGAGTGCACGGCTTTGGGGATTGTATGTATTCAAACGGAACCAAAAGGACAAAACCCAGTTTGGGTCCCCATATTATGAAACCCTGGTGCGATTGGCAAGCCCTCCATTTACCAACTTGGCAGCTTTCAACGCACTTCCGCGCAAACAGAACTGATGCACACTTCAAGCTCTGGGATCCTCTTCGCCTACGCTAACGTTCAGAAAGGACAACAGCTTCCGTGTCTGTTCAGCCGGTGCTTTCTAAAGGGATCTCTGCCTCGAAAAGCGTAAGGTTGACACGTACATTTCCCGGTAGAAAGCGCAGACACTGAAAAACCCTGTTTCGGGTCTCAGGATGACCCACAAACGCAGAACCTGACAGGTCGACAGAAACACCATGGACTTTGGGACTGAAAGTTTCACTGCGTGGGGTTTTAATTACGGCAAAACCAGAGAGCAACCAGACATTTTGGGGTGCGGGTTCTCCCATTTTGAGACAAACACATTTACCAAGAGAACTAGGTAAGGCCCTTACAATGGGCTTACGACATACAAAGCTTATTGTGGCTTGCCAAGTTGTCAAAAAGTGCCTATAGTTTCAAAGGATGCACACTTCCAGCAGAAAATGACATGTCCCCCAGAATCAGAAGCTAGGCCGCGGTGCAGTCATCTAGGCTGCACCGCGGTCGCAGATTCCGTTTGCCACAAGGAATGGATGAAGGCTTGTCTTCGGCGTTGTATCCCAGCCCCAAGTCCCCAACGGCCGGCTGAACCCGACCGTGGTACACAATCGCCGCATGTGTTCAACGGCGCGCCCCTACGGACTGGGCAAACGGCCCGCCTTTGGAATGTGCGGGTCGACGCCATGCCTAACCGGAAGGGAGCGAAACACAAGTCCCTCAGCTTCTTGATTCGATGGCGCCAGGCGCCCAATGCCAGCAATACCAAACGAAGCCTTGAGAAGCCACACACAACTCGCGGCGAACCCTTGGAACTAAATCATTCAATGATGGAAGAAGGCACCCACATGTTGGCCAAGAAACTCCCTGTTATCAGCACCCACCAGCTACTCAGAAACATCGAATTTGCTGCAGCTTGCGTCCGTGAAAATGCTTTGACAAGCTGATAAAGGGCACCCCCCTTGGCCTTCCCCCAACAATATACAGTAGCACCACATTGATCCAGCTCTGTACAATTACAAAAACGAAATGTCCGCTTTATTTTCCTAGTGCAGTATGGGCCAGGCAAAGAGACCAGAAAGGATTGGGGGGGTGCACATGCCCCTGCCCCGTGCCATAGTTCATCACCCATGATTCCATAGATTCATACGCGCATTAATAACCAGGGTTTGAGCTAAGACAACCTCAGCCAGCCAGTCTCCTACTCAGCGGTTGGGTCTTGACACGGCACCAGGCAAACAGCCTGCGCTCCAACAGCTGAAATGAGGAACCCTCACACAAGGATCCATCAAGATGGATGAGCTATTTGATCCTTATCCCATGTGCGTGGCCTAATACATGTTCTTGCCAAACACATGTTCATACACGCGTACAGGAAACTGAAAGGGGTGCCTCTCCAGGTTACACTTTGAAATTCGCTCTGTGTTGCTGCATCGGAAAGTTGGGCGATATTTCGTTTCCAAATTGCATCAGACTGATGGGCTCCTGAAATCAGGGAGTCCACAGCTGGCACCCAATTCTTGCAACACAATGTTTTGTGTTTGTGTATCCATGCATGTGCGCACAAACAAAGGGAGATACAAACACAGACGGACGGACGGACGGATAGACAGACAAACAAGCAGGCAGGAAGGCAGGCAGGCAGACAGGCAAGGAGGCAAGGAGGCAGGCAGGCAGGCAGGCAGGCAGGCAGGCAGGCAGGCAGGCAGGCAGGCAGGCAAGGCAGGTGAGCAAGCAGGCAGGCAAAAAGGCAAGCAGGGAGACAGGTAAGGCAGGCAAGCAGGCAGTGAGGGTGACACACACACACACACAGGCACAAAAAGGCAAAGATCCCAACCCAGCTGCCGCCACTGCGCAAATTGTCGCCAGTTGGGGACTCCAACGCACAATGGGTGGTTGCTGTTGTAGTGTTTCCTGCCGCCCAAAAGGCGCCCCCCCAAATAGAGCAACACCCAAATCTAGCAACACTCCCCTCTAAAACAACCAAAGAAAGAATCCCCTAACACACAGCTCCCTCAAAAACCGATGCGACGCCGCCACCCCAACCACCCCGCTCTGGGCAGCTGACTCCACCATGGAAGTCAAGGTGTAGCAGGCATTCTTCCACAGCACCTGGCCGAGACTCGGCCGGACAGAAAAGATGCACTGCTTTTCTGGGGGACCACAGGCAAAAACAATATGTTCAGTTTCCGTTTCCTGAATGGTCGACCCAAAAATATGAGCTCATTCGGAAGGAGACCGCAGTTTTCTCGCCAAACATAAGACCCTTTGCGGCGGAACTTGATTGGAGCCACGGAGTTGCGACGCAGTCTTCATGGAACACCTGCGAAACTGAGGCAAATCCACCAATTGGAGTTTGACCCTACTCCATACATTCCATAAATTATCACATTGAATGGCTCGCTTTCGGTGACCGCAACCGAGGAGATGCCGCTGAACCCATTTTGCCGTCAACCCGGTAGGTCTCTTTGGCCGGTATAGGTTTCGTTAGAATACTGAGGCATCCTATGCTCTGTACTTCAAAATTCGGAGGAGCATACTCAGTGGTTCCCCTCAGGAACTCATCTATAGGGACCAAGGAACTCGATTGGGGCCGAAGCCCCGGCTGAGGTCGTTTGCTAATTTATCAGATCATGAGCGGTGATTGTTTTTTCACAGACTTGTGTTTCTCCAGAGGACATGGGGAAAAAAAACAAAAACGTCGCAAATGAAACGGACATCTACATTGCCCTCTGGGGGACCCTGGTCTCATGTTGGCCCAATGTTTACCACCCTTTGAAAGGGGGTCCGAAGGCGGAGGCCTGTTTGCACTACGATACTTCACACATATGAAATTAAACACATGTAGCCCCGACTGCAGGACCTTCTTCATGGGGCCCTTTTATTTGGTTTCACAACCAGTCGGCTTTGGTTTTTCCCTTTGGGTCCTTTCAACCTCGAGGCACCACCAGAAAAGACACCAAGCCCTGGCTCGGCACCAAGTTCTCGGGGAAGGTGGACATCGACCCAAGAACCTGGGCCGCAGGGTGACACGTCCAACCTAAGATCACCAAAAGATCACTCAACTTGGCCAGTTGATCTGTAAGACTGCCATTTCAAGAGGAAAACCGGGAATCCTGTTCATGGCCCGCTCCAGTGGTTCAAATTGAACTCCCATATTTTGAGTTCACATTCTCAGGGCCCCAGTGTTTTTCTTTGGATTCACGCCTGGGGCCTGTTTTGTTCTTTTGGCGAGACTGAAACACGGGTTGGGTCCTTGACTGCTTGCCTTCTCGATAGGCCATGAAGTTCCACCAATACAAATATTTATCAAAATTACGGGCTCCCAAGTTGGACAGGGCTCATGATATGTTCCATGTTGAGGGCAACCCTTTCAATGGCAACATGAGACTCTTTGATGCTTTGCTCCTTTTGGTTGTTGAAAACAAAATCGAAACGAACACACCAGAATGCTCTGTCCAGTCTGTTTCATGTTGAGCCTAACCCCATGTAGGTGTTCCTATAAATGTGGGATTTCTGCAAAACGGGACCCGGTTTGCTCTTGGTTTCCCTCCACAAACCCAGGTGTTCAGTCGCTGGTGGACAACTTATTGGAACCCTTGAGGGTTAAATTCCACAGTTGTAGCGGGTCAGGACCCCAAACAGAGCAACTACCGAACAACTGTCTCTGGGCGCTTTCCTCCCAAACCCCCCAAGACCCACCAACCCGCAAACCGCCCGCTTGGCTTCCGGCAGCCGACATGCAGGCGGAGCTCGTCGCCAGCTCGCCCTGGAGATGTTTCAGTCTCACACAATAAGAGTGCAAGAACTCCTGCCGTGAAGGCAGATTCAAGAATACATGGGACCGTTTTTTTTTTTTTTTTTTTTAAATAGAAAGTTGGGTTCCTAGTTCAGAATCCTGTGCTTGGTCCGAGGGCTGCTTGAAGAAACAGTGATTTTGCCGGGGGAAAAAGGCAAACGAGCACTAAAATGCTAACAGACCGTGAACAAACGGAGGCAAACCTAAGTCCTGCAAGGACTTTTCAAAGGGGAACGATCACATGTGGGGCTTTCAAGAAACAAAGAACCTACAAAACAGAAGAGAAACACAAGAAGCATCAGCAGGAAAGAGTTTGATTGCATCAGTACGGTGGATCAACAGTATCACCCCCCATCCAGCAACTTGTGGGGTCCTTTCGAAAAAACGACTGGGGAAAGCCCAAAAAAAACCTGCAGGCATGCCCAGCTAGGGAACCAACCTGAACAAACGCAGGCAAACCAAAGGTCCCGACTCAAGTCCTGTAGATCCTTTCCAGACGAACAAGTTCCAAAAAAAGCAAAGCACAAGAAACATCAGCAGAAAAATGCATGATTGCATCAGCAGCACTGTGATAACTTCCTGTTGCTGTCCTGCGGCAAAAAAAAAACGTCAATGACTCCGCGGTTTGCCTTCCCAATGCCAGAGGTGAACGTCAAGAGCTCTCTCGGCGTAGGATTTTGTTGGTTCCCGCAGCCGACCAGCGGAACACAGAAACCAAATGCCAAGCGCCAGCCGCCTCTTGCAATCCGCCACTGCGTGTGACGACCCAAGCTCGGAAGCAATGAGTGCAAGTCCAGAATTGCACAAAGCGCGAGCGACCAACTTCGTGAGTTTCCAAGGATAGGGCTCTGCCAACTTTGTGTGCCGCATCTGCATTCTGCCCCAAGGGCACATGTGGCCTGAGAAAGCACAAATACCAAGACATCGGATCCCAGACATTGGCAGTTGCAAAGTGGGTCCAAGTTGATGCGAGCTCCCAAAAAACGTTGTAGGCTTCTTCCACGCGGCTTCAATGGCACAGACGTGAACGTCCTGTCCTGACAAACTGCGTGGCCCTGAGCAAACGAGCTATATTGGGGCACAGCCAGTGCTCCTCCTGCAGACAGATCGATCGCATAACCTTTGCAACCGCCCGTCCCTGCACGCATCCCCAGAACCCCAGAACCAGTCCGAAGTGTTTCCTGAGATGCCTTTCCTCGCCCCGTCGCACGCGCTTTCTCCTCCCGATGGGCCCAAATAGCCCGGTGGATTTCTTCCAGCTCCAACCGGCCAGGAAAACCGACTGAGCCCACTTGACAAGCCGCTATTGCAACAAAGAGATGGGAAGTTCAGCAGGTGTCGGACACATATACAAGAAAGCTGATTGGTGGACATGCGACCGAATTCTGGTGTCCACCCAAGGGTCCCCAAATAAAACTCACACCTGTGTTGAAAACCTCCGCGCCGGGGGCCTGCTGGTAGATGGCAGCAATCGCACGCAGCGCGGAGATCTGGGCCTCGATCTCGCCGCTTCCGGGTTCCACCGCGGAGCGCTCCAGGCAAAGACAGCATGTCCAGAGTTTGACTGACTAGTCTTAGTCAACATAGTCAACCTTGAAACGTGTAGTGTCAAAAGAGGTGCCACATTTTTAGAACTTTCAACTGCAACTCGTTTCAGTCTTGGATTTTCTTTGAGGTGCCATGTTGATCTTGACACGCCAATTTCTGGCTCAACTTGCCATCCCCGAACTTGCCAGTGGTTTGTCATGGTCTGATACGCAGAGTCAGAACATCGTCACACTTAGGCCCCAAGGGCCCCCAGGTGGCATCAAGAGTTTTGATAGGAAACGCAAAATGGGAGCAAAGCTTGGCGGAGGGACGGACCCGGACCACTAGTAACAGATAGGTATGATGGTAGAAGTCTGTGATCCGAAAGCCATTTACACAGAAATACTTGTCGGGGTGTAGTGAGACAATTGCCCTCCGGCATCTGTAAGACTGCTTCATTCCAAAGGGTCAAGATGATCCAAGTCCTAATTCGGGACCCCTTCAACTCCTTAGCGAGTCCCGCTAGGTTTCTTGCAACACCATCCCTCAACTGCTTTCCGGGTTGCCATGTGCAATCCCATGCTTCATGCGTGCAATCCAGGCTTAACTGCTTCCTTCACACTCCATTGGCAACCCGCAAAGACCGCAAAGACCGAAGGTAAGAGAAGTTTCCCAGACGAATCCCCTGCGGAGTGTACCTCAAACCTGAGGGACTCAGAAAGCCGCTGCGCGTCCTGTGCAACATCACAGTGAGAGGAACCTACAGGAACTTCCCAAAAATACGGAAAAAGTGATGTTTCAACCCATCTGAAGAGGGTCTCCTGGATGTGTGTCAAAACTCGCCCGCCCTGAGAATTCGTTGGTTTTTCTTGATTCCCCAACGCGACCCGAAGGGCACCCGAAATCCGGGAATGAAATCTGGGGTCGCCGGGCGTTGAAAGAGGTCTGGCGCAGGCTCATTTCCCGAACCTCGGTCAGATCACTTTGGCGTTGGGTCAGATCACTTTGGCCAGGGGCAAGCTCAAAAACAACCAAACCCCAAGGGTAATAGTCAAACTTATCCAAATAACCCAAGTGTAAGCCAAAAACAGCTTGCCCAAATAACCACGGGCAAGTTCAATAGCGGAATTCCAAATATGCCTCAAGGACAAGGGAACCAAACCCAAGCATAATCTACAATGGGACTTATCCAAAATATCCCCCCAGAAGAAAACTTTGGAGGGGTGGCCTTTCCTCATGTTTTCAATGGCCCTTACCCGATTGGTTTTTCGTTCAACTTGTGGCCCCAAAAGGATAGCCGCTGATGTAGATGTTGTTGCAAATGTCTCCACGCTCACCAACCGCTACTGATTCTTTCGCCAGGTGTTTCTTTCCTTCCCAAACGCTCCTGGGGCTTCCAATGCAAGACCCAGACCCTCCACTGGACACCCGAGAGGGGTTTTGGGGTCTCAAAACCTGGCTGTTTGAGGGCCCAAGATAAATCCGGAGCGTCTGGGTTGGGCGAATGCCCATGGTTTTGTGTGTCAGCTTGCTCATCAGTCGGATGAGCCGGGCCAAAGCAGTTGCTTCCTCAAAGCGATGTGAAAAAAAGGTAGCCCCTCCACGCTGGATTGGTGGTCGAAATGCCCGCGCCCGCTCACCAAGGATGTTTGTTCGCGGCGCCGGTGAGTTTGTCCGCCCCTCCTTTTCGCCATGTCACTCTCCCCCCTTGACCAGCATGCCCCGGCTGGCGTAAAGGACCGGGACATCAGAGGTCACCTTTGTTGTCGAAACAAAGAGAAAGTACAAAGAGAAAGTTGTCTTTACATATGGGAATCTCAGGAGCGGTTTCCTTTCGCCTTCCCTTGAAAACCTCCCCAAGGGCACCCTCAAAAAGAGACACACCCGTACTGAACCGAAAAGCCTTTAGGTGGCTTTGCTGTCCCGCACACTTTTTCAAAGGGCACACGCCTCTCGCTCATTTTCAGGGTCGCGGCGATGGCAGGAAGACCATGGGCCAAGCCAGCGACCCACATGACCCCGGCCTGGCCAAAACCGGGAGCTCGTGTTGCAAGACCCCTCCCGGATATCTCCGAATGTGAGCGCACACACGCACACACACAAAAAGCACACCAAAAAAAAACACCCAAACAGACACACACGCGCGCAGTCCCCAGAGCTTCCAAAAGACCGCCACCGCATGCTGGCGCAAGTCGCGGCCCGGGAATGCCCCCGAGTGGTGTGGAATGTCGGGATCCTGCGCTTGGCGAAACACGGATCCTTGCATTATACACCTGAACATTGCCTTGTAAATGGTGGTTTCCAACTGTATTTTGGGGGGAAAAAAGCAGCATGTTTCAAATGGTTGCAAAATGTATCTTTTAAGGAGCCCTGCAAAAGAGCTGCCAAAACTCGCAACCTGGCATACAGCAAAGCGTCAAATTGTGTGTCCCCTTCGTGTGCTTCTTCCGGCAATTTCAGCCAAAACACAGCGGTCAAAGGAGAAATGCAACCGCTGCTTAGATCCGGGATCTCCGCTCAGAATTGAATTGAACGCATTTACATGCAAACAGAACGGCACACGCACGAATTCGTGAGGGTCTAATATTGTTTGTGCGTGTCTTTGCATATGTATGCGACTGTCTCTGCCCACGCGTCCCTTTTCATGGTCGTCGAAGCACCACTCCAGGCCCTCAGCTAGAAGCGCACCGATGCTTGAAACTTCACACAAAACACATATAAACAAGCAGGCAAGCAGGCAAGCAGGCAAGCAGGCAGGCAGGCAAGCAGGCAGGCAGGCAAGCAGGCAAGCAGGCAAGCAGGCAAGCAGGCACGCAGGCAAGCAGGCAAGCAGGCAAGCAGGCAAGCAGGCAAGCAGGCAAGCAGGCAAGCAGGCAAGCAGGCAAGCAGGCAAGCGGGCAAGCAGGCAAGCCGGCAAGCAGGCAAGCAGGCAAGCAGGCAAGCAGGCAAGCAGGCAAGCAGGCAAGCAGGCAAGCAGGCAGGCAGGCAGGCAGGCAAGCAAGCAAGCAAGCAAACCCAACCAACCAACCCACCAACTAACCAGCCAACCAAAAAACAAGAGACACTTTGCAAACAAACACACAAACAAACAGACAAGCAAGCAGACGGTCCATGTCCAAGTGGTTCTCTCAAGCACATTCTCCAGTTCTTTGCCTTCACGGAATGCCAAAACCTTGCCCCAGCGGCCTGGATTCCCGAGACGGACTCGTGCTCCATGCTCACCTCACGCGGAAAAGGGGCTTGCGCCACCGTTCGCCACGGGTCAGCTACCACATCCGGGCATCCTGCATGATCCGCACGGCTTGTTTTTTGCTCTTTTTTTGTTCCTCGTTGCTTGTCTTCGGCAAGCATACTCGATCTTTACGGAACACACCTTACTTGTTGTCATTGTTCTTTGAAGCGTAGTTGTAATGCGTTGTGGCATGTCAATAGCTACTGGAATGGCTCGGCACAGCCAAGCCTAAACACTGGCTGTGCTAGTGAGTTTACAGCATCGGTCTAAGTTTTTCTACTCAGGTGTGAGAGGAAACTCGCCATGCCGACTGCAAGTATCTGCCCAGTGGAAAGTCCTTGGATGTAAAGCTTCCTGATCGCTTGAAGTCACCGTTTGTTCATCAACGTTGCACACCCGGTATCGGCCATCTGGCTTTTAGGTGGTTGGGAAGGGTGGCTGAGCCATGCAAATAATATGAACTACCTCAACCAGCGAGTGGAGTGTAGTGTTGACACGATGGCATGGCCCCCATCGGGTCTGTTGTACCGTGTGTCATGGGGTTCTCTCGGGGCTCAGCTGGTCGCGAGATTTTGGGAACCGGGTCGTTGAGTGAGAGCTTGAAGCAACCATAGAATCTCTCACGTGCAACCAGCTCCCTTCCTTTGCTTCTTTGCCTGCAGCGATGCAAGACCAAACAAGCTAAAGGCTCAAGTCGGAAGCTCCTGAAGTCCAAGCGAATGTCCGCCATGAGTCAAACTAGGGCAAATCAGACGGATAGGTCCACATCTGGCTGCACACAGAAAAACACAGACTTGTCCTGAGTCTGGTTCATGTTTCGTCCCGGACCCTAGGATCAAACAGTGGAGGAGACCTCAGCCCCGAAAAAGATCGGAAGGCTGCGGCCTTCGACAGAAGCCCCGCGCCCAGCACGCTGCCTGGGGTAACGTTTGAGGCGAACCGCTTGAAGCGTGTGACTTCCGAGCCATCCTGCGGGATTGCTCCCTTTCCAATCACAGAACGTTAAACGGGAGGCTGTGAGGATACCCTTTGCGGTGCTTCCGAAACCTCACACCTCACATTCTTGAATGGTGCCGTGCCGTGCCATGTGACGGGGTGCCAATGTTTGGTGAAGCATGTTCGATCCGCATCTTGCGACTTCTTCGGACATGCGCTGCTGTGTTGCATGCTGCTTGTCAGTACTGCCACACCAACGGGTGGAAATACCTTGCGAAGGACCTCACAATCAGAAGCTCCACCTGTCAAGGGGCGACTCTCTTCACTCACTCACACACCTGCCAGCTGGCTGCTCCACAGAGGTGCCGCCAGAACCTACCTTCCTGAGTTAATGCCAAACAACGTATGAAGCAGTGTCAAAAGGAAACAAACGTCTGGATACGAGCCCGAGATACAGAAATGCAAACTCCAAAGGACGGTGCGGCCCTTAGCCGCCACAAGCCCAAGCGAAGTCACCTTGCAACATAGTTCTTTGTTTTTCCGACATTGGACAGATACCTGAACTCAAGTGTGGGCCGCTTATCGTCGTCCCATCATTCAGATTGTTCTGCCTGTTTCCATCCATCTTGGAGCCATCAAAGATCACCTCCGGCGTCAGCCAATCCAATGTCGCACATCAAAAGTGGGTGCAAATGCTTTGAACTACGAGAAGCGAAGCAATCTATGAGTTTGATGGCAACGGCACACACACACACACACACACACACCGGCTGTTCCGTCAATCAATCTGGACCCCCCCCCCCGGAATTCTCAAAGCATGCTTTCCATCTTCTAAAGGTGTGATACATACAACACATACTTGCCATTTATGACATTGTCAAAATCAACAGGGAACATAAAACATCATCCGGCGATTGACCGCTTTCTGCTAGCTACTCATATCATGGTACTCGTATCTTCTCAGATTGTCTTTGCTTCAGAAGCCAAGCAAGTGGCCAAAAAAGAAAAGGGGGCACTCTTCATTTTTTGCTTTTGGGGAAAGATCCTTGTAATTATTGTTGGTTGGTTATGATTGATTGAATTCCTTCCCTAGAGGCAACAGAGCTGCCACTAGACTCTGGACATTGGCCCCTTCGCCCCGCCTGGCGAATCCGGCGATCCCGCGAAGAGGCCCTCGCAGATCCTTCGGATTTGGACTCACGGCAAAGTCAGGGCCAACTCGGAAGGCCAAACAAATCAACTCCTACGAACAATCAAGTGTTTGGACAAACAAAAAATATCCAACAAACAAACGGGGAGGGAGAATTCAAGACAACAGAAGCCACTCCTTTGCCTAAGGAAGAACGGGGGAGTCAGCAAGTCAAGAAAAATGAATCGGGCGCATGGACGTGCATGGGAAGTTGCAAAACTACTGCCAGGTATGTGCAGGTTGCACCCCCCCCCCCCCCCAAACAGTGTGTCATCGTAGTTACGTCCACTCGTTTTACTATATATTCACCGAAAACCAGTCACTGACATTGGCTGCTGCTGCTGCTGCTGCTGCTGCTGCCGCCGCCGCCGCTGCTGCTGCTGTTGCTGCTACTGTTGCTGGAGCAAAAGCTCTAAAGTCTGGCGTCGTGGCGTCGCCGCGGTTGTGCGTCAGCAACTTAAGCGGGTTAGAACATGAACCTCAAGCAAATGGCATTTGGGTTTCGTTCATGGTTGTGGGAACAAATCTTTGTTGTACCACCTTACAAGGCTTGGTATCTAAACCCCTAAGTTCCACAACCACGGTCCGTTTGGGCTGCGAACCCACAACGCAATGGTATGAAAGCAATTTTTCGGACAGCACCCAAATTTGGACCGGAATCTGGACCTGCCGCAGGGACCTGCCACAAAACAATCAGAGAGACTACCAACCAACAAGTCAACAAGCCCACAAAAACACACAAAGACAGACGAACAGACAGTCAAACGGTCAGACAGTCAGACAGGCAGACCGCACAAACGGCAGAGAGGCAGGTAGGCAGGCAATCCAACATTAGGCGGGCCATGGCGGGCCGAATTCCGCGGACAGCCCCGCTTCGCGGTTCGCGTCTCCTGGCTTTTAGAGCCGAAGCCGAGATCTGGAGCAGCTCTCCCAAGGCCTGGCTGTCCGTCCTGCCTGTCTCTTTGGGCGAAGCTAAATGTCCATGGGTGAAAACCCCGCACCCCCCACTGAACATCCCAATCCCCACTAAAATTGGCTGAACTGGGTGGTGCACCTATCCCAAACCGGTACCATTGGTTTTGAACCATGGCCAAATGGGTTCTCTAAAACGGGGAGGATATAAACGTGATCGTCCTTGCACGTTCAGTTAGAACCCGTTTTAGGGCCCCCTGATCTCTCTGTTTGTCGTGCGCATGCATGTGTGTGGAGACCAGGTCCTAGAAGACACTGGCAGAAGCATCTTTGGGCGCAGGCACAGCTTTCTGCCCTGTAGGAAGGGGGCCAGGTTATGGAAAGGACTTCCCTATACTTCCCTCTTACAATGATGATCGGACCGGCGCATACGTGGGAAGTTTGATCCAGTCTCGAATGCTGGAAAGGCCCTGGCAGCCCTTTCGAGATCTGCCAACAGCCAATGCCCCGGAAGTGCAGAAACCATCAGAAGCTGGAGGTGTCTTTAAATAAGAAGCTAGCCCAATTCAGCCCCCTGCCTGCCCCCTTGCCCCTTTGCCCCCTTGGCCTTTGGCCTTTTACCCCTCCGGGCCCCCTCCCAGGCCGCTCGCTCCGGGCTCCCGGCGTCGAGCACGGTGCGGACGATGAAGACGTCGCTGATCTGCCGATGGATGCGTCGAGTGACCCCCAAAAGGTACCCAACAGCGAGCCCCGTTCTTCTGGGGTCACTATTTTCACGGTTTCTGGGCTTTATCAAAGTCAGAAAATCGGGTTGTTTCCTTTTCACCCACCACTTAGGGGGTGACTTTGACCATGGTAAAATAATGAGGCCAGTTCTTGCTGGTGCGATAGGCAGGGAATGAGAAACGAATGACCCTGAAAAAGTCCATCCAACTGGTGGTTTCCTTTAAGTGGAATCCTGGGTTCATTCCCACATTCTCTACTGGGTACCAGCAATTTCTTGGGCTTGACCAGTCTTACTATGTCCCCGGCCCATCAAATAGGAAGGGAGGGGTGCCACTTAACAGGGATAATGCAGCTGCACATGCCGCCGAATAGTTCCGCACATCGATCGTTCGTGATTATGACTTCATATGACTTTATAGGCATTAAAGTCCCCGCAGCCCCAATATCATTGTCTATAGGCTCATACAGCACATGCTTCCAAACACTCCCTCGCTGGTGGAAGCAAACAGTCATCTATTTGACGACTGCAAGTTGGGAGCGGGATGTTCAACAAAGCATCTCCGGGACAACAAGTGCGCCTTTCCGTTCCCTGCCCAAAAAGCCTCTGGCGAAATCGCGTGTCCCCTGCCTTGGCCTGCAAAAGCTCCAGTAGCACTGACGCAGAAAGCACCGCCGCCTCTCTGGGCACGGAAGATGCTGCGCTTTCTTGAAAGTTGTTTACTTTTCATGTTCAATCATGAAAGTACGTGTGGCCTGGAATGGTCATGGTTGCAATGCTGATCGCTTTTACAGAACATCGACAATGCTTGCAAAGGTGATTTCTCCCTCCCGGCAACACACTCAGTCTGTGATTGGACTGGCCCTCCGTTGACAGACTTTCACCCCTCTGGTGGTTTTGTGGAGGCAATTTCATAGTAGTTGCGAGCTTGCAGTGGACAAAAGCTATATTATACATAGAGTGGATGAGCTCAGCCTTTCAAAATGACGGTTGGACGGTTTGCAATACCGTTGATCATTACTGTTCAATGAGAGGGAACTTTGCATTCCACAAGGCAACTGAAGCAAAACCCACGTCCCGTTAATTTGTGGCTATACATCATGGGTCAATCATAAAGATGTAGCCTTTCCTAACCACCGGTTGAGCAAGTAGAGCCAGCTCCTAGATTTGGCCATTCAGAGGTTTTGGGCAACTGGCTTCGCGAGCTCCAAAATGCGTGGCCCGTCTTCCGGTATTTGCGAGGGCTGGAGTGGTACCGGCGCAAGCAAAAGTACAAGGAGAGCCGGGGATTAACTTTTGAGTGTCCCGGGACAGTGGGAGAGCCAGGGTCCATGTTTTTCCCAAAAGTGGGGTCTGGGTTCAAGCCAACTTTCGCGTGCTCGACACATGGAAGCCCATGAGAGCGCCCAAAGCAAAATAATTCGCCTCGCATGACCGGACCCACTAGCCACCAAAGAGGCACTGCAATACGTGGCCGATAGAGTGCGCGCTCCCTTGAAAACAGCCCCCAATCGGGCACTCTGAGAAATGGCACACCATAGGGGGCGAATATGATGGCCCCCCAGAAATTGGCTTCCCTGCGGTCTCCTGGGTCCTCCAGTGGAGAGCTTAGAAGAAGTTGGTACCAACTTGTTTCTGTCCATTTTTGTAGGGTCCCGAACCCTCCCAACCAAAAAAGAAACGGGAGGATAAGGGCACCTGGCTGAGGGCCCTAGTCTCCCTTGAAACCCGCCTGGTTGGAACGCAGGAAACACAACACGGCGCGCCCAAAACCTTGCGCCTCTTTGAGCTGCGGGACCGCCTAGACGGGGCTCAATCGCGAAGCGGGTTGTCTTACCGAGAGCTGTTGGCCCCACCCCAAATCAGGTTTTCCTCATTTGTTGCTTGTATACCAGTAATCTAGCCATTCTTTCCAGGGATCCTTCTTTCTAGAAAACCTACGATGGTTGAAAAGAATGGGGAATCAACCCCTAGAAGTAAAGCCGGCGGCTTCCCATGCAAAACCAAGTTTGATTGGCCTTGGACAATGTGCAGTGGTTGTTTTGCCCGCTCCTCTCACGTCTTCAATCAAGACCATTACTTGCACGCAGAAGCGCGCACACACACACACACACGCGGAGAGGCAGCCTTAGTAACCCGAACAGCTCGCTGCCTGCTGCAAAACAATGAAGAAATCTCCTCAAAAGGACCCCTCTTGCCAGCTCTTCACTTGCCTGAAGATGAGATGGGGCCCTATGGATTCTCTTCAAACACAAGAACAGGTACTGTGGATGCTTGCAAAATCCATTTCGCACAAAGAAAACCCCATTTTTTTTGGTATTTACCTTGAAGAACATCTTATCATTCAGAAACCGTTGGGTTCCTGAGCGGGTGGTGCGCAACGCATGGATTTCGCAACCAACCACAGTAGCACTGAATTGGACTTGATGTAAGTGTATCCCTGATCATTCTTAGTGGGAACCCCTTATTGATGAACTGGTTGATTGTTTCAACCATGGCTTCAAAGTGGTGTATGCCCCCCAAAACGCCTGGTCCGGAGTCCCGCCTCGTTCTCCCCGGCAAAGGCCGCCGCCTTGCTCAGGGCAAAGGCGGCATCGTTCAGCACCTCGCTGTGCTCCTCGCGGTCGGAAAGGCGCGCGTTGATTCGGTCGACCGAGAGGTAGAGGATATATGTGCAAAACCCACATTATAATGGTTGTGTTTTTTGTTGATTTTGGCAAAATATCAAATCTCTATCACATTCTTGTGAGTGTCAAAATTAGGGGAACCTGGTCGGTATGCAACAATAGAGTAACCACCGAGTTGCAGCAAAATTCATTGTGGTTCACGGTTTCTGCTGCACATGCTGGCGTTCATATTGATTGTATTGAACGTGATAATTCTAGCATGGAAGCACGTCAATGACACGCTGCTCAAAGAGTGGAAGCCCAGCTGTGGCAAGCAATCTACTCCCCAGCTTGCTTGTTGTTCTATTGCTGTTCAGACTTGAGTGGACCACACTGCTTTCACCGCTTCTTTCCTGTGTGTGGTGGGTGTTCAGTATTGCCCCCCACCCGTTGCTGTTTCGAAAGAGAAACACACCACACCAATAACCAAAAACAACTCCTCTTACTTAATCTATCACGAAAAAGGGTCCACCAAGCATCTGCACATGCTACAATAATAATAATAAATATAAAAACAAAAATGTGGTTCTCGAGGTTAGGATTGTCATTTCGGCTCGGCTCGATCCACTCCTTGTTCCGCGGACCAAATGTCGCTCAGCGGCTTGGTGTAGTGGGTTCCGCAAATATCACAACTATGCAAACTCATCACACAACATCACAAGCCAGCCACAAAACACAATCAACCAACCACAAATCATGGTCCAACGGTAAGGCCTCAAAAACTCCCCCAGGCTAACATGGAAGCTCCCCAAACTCCCTTGCCATTTACAGAGGCCTTCAGGGAGCTTCCATGTTGGTCTGAGGGAGTGTAACCAGTGGGGAAATCTTGGGGTCCCCGTAAGTTGAAAAACACATTTGCTTCATGTGCTCCCAACTGGTTAACCTGTACTTCCCAACTTCTTAACCTGTGCTAAACCTACCCCCTACTCAAAATACCCGCTTTTCCAGGGTATTTTTGGGAAAACCAAGTTTTCCATGCTAAATACCTCCTTTCTTAGTAGAGGGTCGACATGATACCCTGAAAAAGGGCCGGGTATTTGGAGTAGGGGGTTGGTCGACTGTTTCTACGGTATCAAGGCCAAAAAGGCAATGCCGACGCGCTTGCAAGCCTTCCATTTGTGAGATGACTTGAACGGCTCAAAGTGGGAAACTGGGAAACCTACATCTGCGAAACCAGGTGCTCCATGTGAGGTCAGCTCCTGGCAGCTGCGCATGGTGTCGATCAGCCCCTCCACCACCTGCACCACGACCTCCACCCCCGCGCCGTCGCCCTGGCCTCGTGAGCCATCGAGCGACCGCATGGGGGCTTTTTGGAGTCGATGCCCAGGGGATTTCCACGGGAAACAAACGGGCGCCCCTTTTTTGGTTGGTTGACTTTAAAGGGGAAGCCGAGCCCCAAAAAAGGTGGAAAAAAGGGCACCACTTGGCGACTGGGGGAGCCTGGCATGAGTCAAAATGGGCAGACCCCAAAAGCGGCGTTCCTTTTGATGTCGACTTGAGGAATAAGGCGACCAATCACACTGATGGGATCAGCTTCGTTCCATAAATCGGCACGTGGGTGAACTCAACCACGGAGCTGCGGGAGTGCTCATCTTGGCAGCCCGGTTTCGGCCGTTGCTCACTTGGAACATCCGGTTTCGGCCGGAGTCTCTCGCCACCAGCTGGGGTCACCAATCACCCCTGACAGCATGCGCTCGGGACTACCACACCGGGTTGTGAAATAAATTCGCGCAGGTAGATATCAAGGACGAAGCGGGAAAGAGAAGTGCGGTGCGCAGTAAAAACCCAACGAAGTGTTGAAGCTTATTTTTTGACCTACCATCTTAGACGTGCCGGCACGCAGAACGCGCAACGCTGAGTTGCAGCACGCATACTCAGCACGCGCAAACAATTTTGGGCACAAGGGTTGCCACCAAGGTCTGCTCCTGAAAAGCGATGCTCTGCGGGCTGTTTCTCCGATTCTGCGCAGAACAAGAACCAATCCCAAAAAAGGATGGGTTGCCCCTCAATAGTGCTGAGCTAGAAAAGGGAATCAAGGTCCAGGGATGAACCGATGTCTAGAGGGGCCCAAACAAAACGCTGGTTGGTTACCTTATAGTATGGTCATGTTGAGGAAGAAACAGAAAACAAACTTGTTGAATGGAGTTTTCGTATAAATCTGGACGAGCCATACTTGTCCAACCTGAATCTTCGGAAGTCGCAACTACGCACTCACATGCAACTCACGCCCCGTCGCCACAATTGGAACATGAATGGCTGCGGTCCAACAAAAACGGGAAAAAGGACAAGTCAAATTCCTGGGCAACCAAAGAACAGAAATGACAAATCAGATCCCCACATACATGCATGTATATATATATATATATGTATATATATATATATATGGACCCCCCCAAAGAAAAGCAACAACAAACAAACAAGTCTCCCCATTGACCATTCTCGTCAAACTCAATGGACGCCAGGCCGCCCCAGGTGATGTCGCTAAGGGACCGCAACGTGGACCGCACCACCTGCGAACAGGAAAAGCGGCTCCACCAAGCCCTGTGCTTCAGGGTACCATGGGCAACCAGGGCTCTTTCCTGTCGAAGGGTTTCGCCTGGCTTTTGCGGCAGGAAACACTGCAGCTTGGGACCGTCTGCCCCCAGAAAGGAACCCGGGTCAATGCAACTTGAGTTTGGGGAAGTGCCCTTTGATTTGTTGACATACAACCTCCTACTCTTTTTGTAAGACCCGCGTTGGTGTAATTACCTGAGTCGCCATCCCAAGCGAAGCGGATGGGTTGGGGCAAGGAACGGACGCAATTCGCCCTGGAGGCCAGGCTTCCCCAAATGCTACTTGCAGGATTCACCTGCAAAATGAAAGAGGTTCAATGCGGTTCTCACTACGACCAACATGCACCAAACACTCAAGCCAAGAACGGCAATGAGGAAAATAACACCCCTTTTGGGGCTTTGGATGACTTCCAAAAAAAACACCTGATTTTGGGAAAAGCCTATCTTAAGACAAATCGTCAAGACGGTGCAAAGATCTCTCGTGGTCTCAGTGTCTTTTTTTTCCGCTGCTTCGCGCCTCCACCCGCTGGGTCTTCCGCAGAGTGGCCAGCAGGGACCCCACCCCGTGGAGCTGCTGAACAGCCCAAAGCCCTCGCTGCGAGTCAAGCGCGTGGATGGCTTCACTCGGGGCTGCGGTGCCCCGAATGGGTGGCGTGACCGTCGTCTTTTTTTCTTTTACTTGGAGGCTCCCCCGCAAAAATGAATGTATATATACACACATTTATTTGGAGCCCCCACAAAAAAAGACATGGCGCAAGGATCTTGTTCCTGCTGCCTTCCAAGAAAAAAACAAACCAAGCAAGGGTACCAACTCCACAAAAACTGAGAAAACCCCGGAATGGGCCAGGGAATGGTCTGTGGGGTTCCATTTGGTTTCCCTAAAAACAAGTCCACGATTTGGAGAACGGTGCAAACCCTGGTAGGAGCTTGTTGGGGGTTAATTTGGGGTTGAACAAAATTGGCTTCCGCTTTAAAATGCTGGGTTTTCAAAGGGGAACCCCTGCTCGAAAGGGGCAACACAGTTTGATTGAAAGCACACGAGGTTCCTTTTTCCCAGGGGATGACTTGCACTTGGGACATGCGGGGTTTATCACGATTTTTTTCAGGAGCGAATACAGAGTGGGAATGGCCTCTCCCAAACCAAAAGTAAATTCCAATGTAGCATTATCATTCTAGTAGCCTTCCTTCCAAAGCTCAACCAATAGAAAAACGTTGGACATGCGAGGTGTAAACTGTCCCCCCACCCGCTTGGGGAAAGCTCGGGCTCCCCGTGCGAGTAGTGTTGACCTCGGATTAATAAACCCCTCCATATCAATATGGTGGTGTTCTCCCTTTTTGAAGTGAGTTGATTCCCCACTAAAACAAGGGACACCCCGTATTAATTCAACAGGTGTCTGCTTGTATCCTGACAGTACCCTTCACGAGGAAAGCCGTACCAGTCCAACTCCCGCATTGACAAATCAAATTACCCCTCAACAAAGAAAGGCAAAACCTTTGAAGTCAGCCCTCTTGACAAAAAATACCCCTCAAAAACAGAGAGAGAGAGAGAGCGCCATTTGCTTCTCTTCACAAACAAATTACCCCTCAAAAAGCGAGAGAGTGAGTCAGCTAAATCGTCAGACTCGAGCCCAGGCGCCCCTGACCCCTCAAAAACGAGAGAGAGAGAAAGAGAGAGAGAGAGAGTCAGCCATTTGTCACTTCACTCGAGCCCAGGCGCCCCAGTAGAGCACCTTCCCGTCGTTTTGGGTCTTCTGCAGCGATCGCTCCAGCGCTTGGCCCACCGGCACCGCGTACGACTCCCCGGCGCCCCCGCGGCAGAGTTGTGCCAAGGTCCGGATCGCCTCCTGGGAGAGAGGCGGGGGGTTGCGGGGGGGAAGGGGTGGGGGTTTTAGAGCGCGCCGGGAACATACCCACCCGCGCGTATTTTGTTTGTTTTTGCGTGTCTTTGGTTTTCCTGGTTTTCCTTTTATTTTCAGGCAGTTTGACAAACGTGCATCTTTGTGGGTCTCTGAACATCCCGGTAACTAACTCATTTCAGAGTAAAGCCGCGCAATTTTTGTTCTAGTCAGGACACATGGCAGTGAAACGATGTCTAAACTACAAAAGCCGGGGCACCGGCTGTGGACTTGTCCTATCCCAGTGGAATTTGAAATTCGTCGCCTTCGTGGACTGTGTTGTTTGTTGTTTCGCTTGAGCGGGTGCACTTCAGCGGGTGTTCTTACCATTCGGCATGCATGTGTGCAGCTCTGAGCGGGTGCACTTCAGCGGGTGTTCTTACCATATGGCATGCGTGTGTGCAGGGCCGAGCGGGTGCACTTCAGCGGGTGTTCTTGCCATTTGGCATGCGTGTGTGCAGTGCCGAGCGGGTGCACTTGAGCGGCTGCTCTTACCATTTGGCGCGCGTGTGTGTGCGCAGCGCTGAGCGGGTGCTCTTGAGAGGGTGTTCTTACCAGGTTGGCGGGGGTAAAAACCACTTCGACTTGCGGGTGCGTAAATACCCGGTACCATACACGTCAGGTGTATATATGCACACATTGTACCTATTGTATGTATGTATGTATGTATGGATGGATGTATGTATGTATGTATGTATATGTGTGTGTATGTGTGTATGTGTGTGTGCATGTGTGCATGTGCGCATGCGTGCATGTGTGTATGTGTGTGTATGTATGTATGTATGTACGTATGTACGCGTAGGTATGTATGTATGTATGTACGTATGTATGTGTGATGTATGTATGTATGTATGTACGTACGTACGTATGTATGTATGTATTTATGTATGTATGTATATGTATGTATGTACGTATGTGTGTGTATGTATGTATGTGTGTGTATGTATGCATGTATGTATGTATGGATATTTGTATGTATGTATGTGTGTGTGTATGTATGTGTGTATGCCTGTATGTATGTATGTATGCATGCATGCATGCATGTGTATGTGTATGTGTATGTGTATGTGTATGTGTATGTATGTATGTATGTATGTATGTATGTATGTGTGTGTGTATGTTTGTGTGTATGTATGTATGCATGCATGCATGCATGTATGTATGTATGTATGTATGCATGTATGTGTGTGTGGTTGTATGTGTGTATGTGTGTATGTACGTATGTATGTATGTAAGTATGTACGTATGTATGTATGTATGTGTGTGTGTATCTGTATGTTTGTATGCATGTTTGTATGTATGTATGTATGGATGCAGGTGTGTATGTATGTATGTATGTTTGTACGTGTGCGTGATGTATGTATGTATGTATGTATGTATGTATGTATGTATGTGTGTGTATGTATGTATGTATGTATGTATGTATGTAAGTATCTATCTATCTATCTATCTATCTATCTATCTATCTATCTATCTATCTATCTATCTATCTATCTATCTATCTATGTGTGTGTATGTATGTATGTATGTATGTATGTATGTGTGTATATATGTATGTATGTATGTATGTATGTATGTATGTGTGTATGCATGCATGCATGCATGCATGCATGCATGCATGCATGCATGTATGTATGTATGTATGTATGTATGTATGTATGTGTGTGTGTGTGTATGTATGTGTGTGTATGTATGTATGTATGCATGTGAGGGTTGTCTGAATTCCTTGTTCCGGAAACCGCCATCTTCGCGAGAAACAAAATAACTTTCGCGGACCTTCGCGGGGCTGGCTTCAGAGCATTCATCACAAAAGTAGTACACGAAGTACACTTTCGCAGCCCCAGCTCGAAAGTCGCAGCTCTTCAGTGCGAAAGTAGTACTAAAAGTAAACTTCCGCAGCCCGGCTTGAATACGAAAGTAGTACACGAACTAAACTCCCTCAGCCTCGAAAGTCAGAACTTTTCAATACGAAAGTAGTACACAAAGTGAACTTCCGCAGCGCCAGCTCGAAAGTCGCGACCTTTCAGTTCCAGCGCCTCCCCAGCTCCAGCTCACAAGCCGTGAGCTACGCGTAAGAGGACCCGTTGGCCTCATGTCGGGGAGGTCCGTCGACTTTCGCGAAACTTTCGCGGATCTTACGCCAAACATTCGCGAAAATCCGGCTGGAAGCTGCGCTCAGCTTGCCCCGACAGCTTCAAAACTCCCAGAAGCTGGCTGGCTGGGGGTTGCTTTTGCAGCGGCGTATTCTTGCGGCGACCCTCAGGCTGCGCATTCTCCGACCAACTTTAGTCTGCAGGCTTTCTGCGCGCACTGCCGGTAAATACACATGATTCATCACTCCAGCTTGCTGTTAGCAAGCCACACAAAACTTTCGCGGAAAAAACAAAACTTTCGCGACCCCGCTAAGACCAAAAGGTCTTCCCCTTCATAGCTCAATACAAGGACCTTTCGGACGACTCTCATGTATGTATGCATGTATGGGATTTTAGTGGGTCGGAAGGCTTTTGGGTAGGTTGTCTGGGGGTTTCCGGCGAGTTCCTTAAGAGTATTGAAGGTTTTTTTTTTTTAATGGCAAACAGTTTTATCTCCTGCGGATTTTGATGGAAGCCAACAGGCCTATTTTGCAGTGTTGTAAGGGGGTTTGCCTTCGAACCATATTTGCATGATTACTTCCGCACTGTCACATTTGCTCGGGTCTCAAAACAGACAGTTTCCGAAACAGCGGGGTCCTTTTGAAAGGATTTAACCCAGCTGTTTCAACCGAGAGGTTCGTAGGCACGGTGATGCCGATATGGTGCGAACATGCTATCTGGACACGTCATTGTGGACAAATGTGCAAACAGCTCCTGCAAATCGTTGTACTCGCAAGTGACCAACTCGCATATCCCAAACTTAAAATATCCATAATACTCTTGTTTACAACTCGCTATTTACTTCTTTTGCATTAAAACACATGAGACTTAATACGAGAGAGCCTACCTAGCAGATACCTCGAGAAACCAACAGAAGAAGCTAAGCCTACCTCCCAAACAAAAAACAGTTCGGTCCTGCTGCATCTCCAAGTGGTCCAGGTCCAGTGGGCCCCGCAGTAGCCATTCCCAGCCCCCGAGGTTGAAGAAGGCCACCCGGGCCTTTGGATGGGCATGGCTTCAGTGAGAATCTGCACATCTGCAAACTCCCCAAACCTCAAATTCTCATCAAATTCTCCTCAAATTCTCATCAGCCTTTTGGTTGGACTCATCAAATTCCCCCTTCTCCCGCAAAAGAAGGAGAGCTCGACATGTATAGGCGACAACAATGCAGAACCAATGCGACTAGGATGGTTTCCTTTTGCTTCCTGAAGGAAACGGCCCAAACAAGGACCCGCAAAAAACTCGACTCTTTCCCCTTCGCGCCAACCGTGCCCTCCTTTTCCATCTCAGGGGAACCCCCTTTGAACCCCCCAACCACCAAACTACCAAGCTCGAAACTCGGTGCGTCTAGCTTCCCCCCTTCAAACCAAAAAAGGGCATCCAAAACTGGGCTGGTTCAGGGTTGGTCAATCCGATCCTGAATCCTGCTGGACGAACCACTAGGGGTTTTTTGAGGGTTTGCCAATCAGAACTTCCATGCTTCTTGTTGGAAAATCGCTACGAAGGCGGATTTCGCAATTGCAGGGCTAAATCATTTGATTCAGGTCTCAGGGAATCTTGAAACCATGCAACAAGTGTCAGTATCAAAATAGTAGAAAAGGGTGAGCGATTTCGCCCCTTGTATCAACCCGAGGGGAGGCTGTCAAACCGCATCAAAACATGTGGCCCTACACCTCTCTCGCGCATTGAAAACATCTTGACAGACCATGCCCACATAAAACAGGGATGGCGCAGAAGGAATATCAAGCAGTTAAGCCCCGATTCTGAACTGTGATGTGTTTGCATGTGTAGTCCCAGGCAAATCCTAACATATATCGGTGCGTGTCAAAAAACAAAAACAAAAACTCCAAATGGTTCCCTCTACACCACATACTCTAATCGTAGGCTCCAAAAATTGGTTGGACCCCTGTATGTGTGGAGGGCAAATCGGAAGCCGCTGTATATTCCCATGAAGCACCCTTGAAACTAAGCCTACGGGGTGTTGCATTACCAAGAAATGTGGTCGGATGGTTTCAGTGACACAGACTCTGCCATCTGCCACATTTGTGTGGTCCCCATATCCTTTGAGACAAACCGGACAACGACAAGACCGAGCAAAGCCGCCGAAGGGAGTTCCGTGCATGCCAACCTAGGCGGCGCTCTAAGCTGGCCCAACCGAGTAAAGGCTTTTGCCGGGGTGTTGCATTTAGTGAGGGCCACACAAATCTGCTATGCAGGGGGTTGATCAATATTCCTGTCCCCCAAATGGGACACTTTTCCCATGTGAACAACATCGTGGTGCTTTCCCGCATGGTCCTCCCAGTGAGGACCTGTTGATCCACCCCCGCGTCTAAAACGTCGTTTTACCTTTTAATGGGATCCACTGCACAAATCTGCCATGTCTGCAAACGTCTACTGTCGTTCAACATAAAAAGAAATGGGATACACAAGATTACACCCGCCCACGGGCAAAAAGCGCTCATGCCCCGCCTGTGGCAGGTCCCCCGCCAGATCCCCCAGCACCTGCACGCCGATGAGCAGCACCTAAGATCGATGGACCGGTTTGAACTTGGGCATGGATCACAACGGACTTGGTGTCCCTTCGAAATGGCTGGCTCATGATTGGCTTGCATTTGGTTTCCCTGCAAAATAACACGACACCACGAAAACGCGAGGTCCTCCCTGGTTTCTCTTAAAAGCCAACCCCAGAAATCGGGCGCCTTAACAAAAGCACATGCCGCATGCCTGAAATGGTATCCTGTAGATTAACATGGAGCACAAAGCACCGGCCGAGGAATCTTCTTTGCCAGGGAAACCCGCGTTTGAGCGTAAGGCCGAGTCCCTCTATGGTTGACCCTCCCACATCTTTTCCTGGAAGACCGCCCCCCCCCCCCCCCGTGAAATACCAAAAAAATCAAGGCCATAGCCGAATTAACCCGTCAATCAGGCCGAATCCAAGGCTTGCCCCAGGCATATTCTGGCGTGGACCACCACGAACGACGACTAAATCCCAAACCATCATCCTCGTATGCAATATTTACTCACATTTAGTGGGTCACATGTTGGTATATGTATTATGTACATATCACCTACGTGGATTGTGTGGAAATGTACGCACCACATAGCAACCACCGCAAAAAAGCGAACTGGTTGCACCCCTTTCAGCGTTTGGCTCGCTGAACGCCAAAAGGCACCTGCAGGTCCTGGGGATGCGCCTGCAGCGAGAGAAGGATGCAGCGCACCATCTCCGCTGCGGAGGCCGCCTCGACCTGCCATTGCCCCCAAAAACAGAAAGGGTGGGTACCTCGTCTTTTGGGTGAGGGACCCCGATTTTGGCTTTGCTTACAGGAAAATTAGAGGGTTTCCCCATGCTTCATTGCAAATGAATAGAATCAGCACTATCTAAGTACTATGCCAGCCATAGAATACAAGAGTTCACAAAGCACAATCAGCGATCTCTGCAAAGAAACGTTCGTCCTGGGGCCCGAGGTCGCAAACCCAACTATTTGTGAGGGCGCTATATATATATATATATATACATATATATATATATATATGCATACATAGTCTGCCGCGGGTTGCTATCTTCAGCTTTAAGGCAATACAAGTATACGTGTATATATATATATACATATATATATATATATGTATCAATGTACATATATGCTTGAACCCCGACAGAAAAGAACCACGTGGCCCATTCTGGTGGCCAGGTGTGGCCCCTCCCCTGAGAAAACGGCTTTCTCAGGGTCCTATTTTTGGCAAACAAGCGGAGAAGGGGTTTGGGGAAGGGGTTTGGGGAAGGGGCTTGAAGGCAGCTAGAATTGATAAGCTCATGGTTGGCTGTGCGGAACATGCCCAGGGAAATGCAGAGAGTTTGACTGATAGGTCACACTGACATTGTTTCTAACACTACCCCTCGTTGCTAGTGATTAGAAGGAACAAGGATGCAAAGATGAAAGCACAAGTGTATGTGTATCTTTATATAGAAATATATTCTGCACGTTTTTCATCTTTCATTATTGTCTAATGTTGCAATGTCCCAGTGCAGTCAGTCACAAGCTGCCTCAACAAGCACACTTAGACAATGGCATGCTGATATTCAGTAGCACGCCCGGGTCCCACATACCACTAAAGGCCAGCCAGGAAAAAAGGCAAACAACTGAATCAACCTATCCACTTTTGTCGGTAATTAGCGGTGCACACTAGCTTGCTTGGGATGCAAACAACAGGCCAAGCACATGCGGTAGGATCCGATGCTATGGGCACTTGGACAAATCCAATCGAGCTGAGCAAGTTATGTCGACAGCAAGGCCTTGGTAGAAGCTGACTAGCGCAACCTCTAATTCCAGCAAGCGCCGTGGCTGCCAACAGCATTGTTCACGGTTGAACCTCCGCAAAAAGGAAGAAGACAGGGAAGGCCCTGACGACCGTGACGAGGAGGACAACAACGACGACAACCATGGCGACTACGACGGCGGCTACTAACAGTAAAGCCGGCACTCGTGAAGGGTTGCACTTTTGGGACATGTCTATTCTCCCGCTAAAAGCGCACACATTTGCTCTCGTGTACACTTACACTTCTCTTGTCTTCTGCCAGAGGGCCAGCCTTCAACTATGTGTCCGTACCATGGAAGTTCCTTTCAAACTTCCTTTAACTACTACCACCGCCACTGCAGCACTGGCACAACCTAACTTTCATCGAACGACGCGAGCATGTCCCATGCCTCGTGCCAGCGCGCTCGCGCGCTGGTGCGAAAGGTCTGCAGCGCCGCCCTGCGGGGCCGGAAGTGAACTGATGGGGTTGGTCAAAATGGGCGCGCTCCTTAGGGGGACCCCCAAAAAATGGGTTGGCTTCCCTTTGGCGTCCCTTCAAAACCAACCTAAAAGGGGGTAATTATCCTTCAAAAAAGACACCCAAACAGAGAAGGTCTCGAACCCTAATCTGCAATCTGCAATGAAACGCCACAATAGGCAAGGGACACCAATGCCATCTGGCACAAGGATTCAAGAGTGATTTTACAATTCCTGTTTTCTGTGATAGCGAAGTGGGGCATCCCCATAGCTACCGCTTTAACCTGGATCCTCTTAGTCTCAAGCAACGTGTCACTAAACCCAGCTTCAACAAACATGCACAGCGGGTGGTTCGTGGAAACATACCCCACTTCCGACTTCCCCAACGACTTAACAATAACTACAAAATGAACATCCCAGCCAAGAGCAGCTAAGATGGGGCTGGCCATCTTGGATTGAAACAAGGGGAAGGGAGGGTGAAAGAGGGTTGTGAAACTCGACCGCAATAGGGCCGGCCATCCCCTGTTCCCCCCAAGCGATCCGTCCAACGTTGGGTTCCTTCACGGTTTACCCAAACACAACGCTGAAGATATGACGCGGAAAGCTGCTGGTTTGTCACATTCAAGGCGAGACCCAGGTATCGCGGAACTCGTCATTCCTGACCCAACTCATTTCCCAGAACTCGGAATCCCTACAGCTTCCCTCTTTCCAAAACAGGGGTCAATAGATTTCCCACCAACATTGTACCAGTAGTGGACACCTCTTAGGGCCTTTTCTGCAAGTGGGTAGTGGGGATGTGATTATATTTTTATGTTCTTCTGGGACCCCCTTCTGCTTGTTTTGAAAGGGAAAGTCTTGAAGCCAAACAGAAACCAGAAGCCATGTTGGGGTTCTAAGAATTCGAGCCAAACGGGTTGGATTTCTTATCCCTGGTTTGGACGATGGACACCACTGGATTGTTTGAGGGTACACCTATTCAGAGACAAACCTTAGACCATGGAAGCCAATGGAAGCCAATGGAAACCACCTATTTTGGGGTGTCCCTCTGGCGCAGGACCAAGTCCTGCGCCAGATGGCAGGTGGCTAATCCTTCGAGTTTCAGCATGATGATGAACCAACTGGTGCGAAGCGGACTTTGTCAATCCACAGGACGAATCCCAAACCCAGTGGCCATGCGAAGAAGAACACATGTCACTCGTTTCGGGTTGATTTTGCAGGGGCCCACCGCTCCAGAAAGAAGTTTGAACAAGGAAGCAAGCCACAAGAAACCTAGACCAACATTCAGGGCATCTTTGTTTTATGCCCAGTGGCCACGGTGCAAAACAACAAAAAGGGCATCCTGTTTTATGCCCAGCGGCCATGGTGCAAAACAACAAAAGGGCATCTTGTTTTATGCCCAGTGGCCATGGTACAACAAACAGAAGGGCATCCTGTTTTATGCCCAGTGGCCATGGTAAAACAAAACGAAGGGCATCCTTGTCACATGCCCAGTGGTCATGGTAAAAAAAGAAGGGCATCCCTTGCTTGGTTTGACGTTTCAAGGGGAACCCTTAAAAAAAGGACACCGGGCACCGCTTGGCAACTGAGTTTCAAGGGAACTCTTCCCCTCTCCAAAAGCGACCACTAGTTGAGCCACCGGGGGACATTTGCCGGCCTGGTGGCGGCCGCGCTGTGGCGAAGGTGCACCAGCGCCTCGGAAACGAACTCGGGCTCAAGCCGGTGCAGAAGGTACCCAATAAAACACGCACACACCCCTATCTATCTATCTATCTATCTATCTATCTATCTATATATATATATATATGTAATAGCACATGTCTCTCTCTCCCTCTCTCCCTCTCCAATGCAGAATGTATATATATATAAGTATGTATGTATCAACACACATGTCCAATGCTAACATTGTATGTATATATATATATATGTTATAACTCTATAGAAGAACCCTTAACAAGGGGCTCCTTTCTGCCCAACAGTTTCTGTTCCTTCAACCGCGTCGTCCCCTTCAGGTTTCCCGGGGCCCCCTCGGGCGGGATGTTGCAAACAGCCAACTTTACAAAAAAAAAAAAAACAAAAAAACATGTCTTACTACCATTTTCGCTGGGCCTAATCTGATAAACCATGCTTTTCCTCGATTTCAACCAGCCGATTTCACTGAAAGCAAGGTAAGTTTCACGCATGCCAGCCGATTTGGCTGTGGCTCAAAAAAATCGGTGCCCAAAATTTGGAACCCTTGGGAAGAAAGGGACGATTCAAGCTGCGGGTATACCCAGACCCACTTGACCATACCACCCATTTGACCCATTACCAATGGGTAAGTGTTTCACTTTAGGCTGGAATTAGAACCCCAGCAACAAATTATCTATTTTGCCTGGTTAGTGGAAAACAAAGGGAACCCCAAAAAAGCAAGGAAAAAAGGAGCTACTTCTTGGGAAGTTTTGACAACCATACCCATTTGACCTCACTCACTCCCTGCGAGCGCCTGCAGCAGCGCCGGCAGGCCGTGGAGCTCGTCCAAGACCGACAGGGCGTCCGCCAGCAGGTGCTCCGTGCCCGCGTGCTTGTTCCTCGCTGCTTCGGGAGCTTGGAGCGTTTGGTTGGAGTTCGGTGTAAGGTGTTTGACACATTTCTAAGGGCTGGGGGAGGTGGGGGGAGTGGGGGGTGGGGGCGCTGGGGGGTGGGGGCGCTGGGGGGTGGTGGGTGGGGGGTGGGATGGGTATTTTGAAGGAGGGGGGTAAGGGGTGGGAGGTATTTTGAAGGAGCGGGGGGTAATGGGTGGGAGGGGTATGTTGAAGGAGGGGTTTTGGTTGTGTATTGAAGACACTTTTCCGGGTGGGGGGGGGGGGGGGTTGGGCTTGTTTGGGGAAGGGGTTACATGAGCTCACACATTCAGCTTCTCTACCACATACAAGAGTGCTCAAACAACGGAGCGTCCTGGAGGCAAACAAACGACAGACTTGGATCAGGGCGTCTCGGGTCCTCGATTCAACTGGAGGTGGGAAAACACATTAACAGTCATTAACAAGTGCGCCACATATGAAAGGTGAGAACAGATTTGACAGGTCCAGCTGGCAAATTGTGTGAGCTGGGAGACAAATAAATGCGTTAGAACAGTGGCTCCAGAAATGCGGTTTCGCGAGGCTG